ACGAGACAAAACAATTTTCAATTTTGTCGTCTAAAAACGATAACCTTGTTGAAAAAACTGAAGGCACATTTTCTTTGCTTATCACCTGCAGGATCAGTGTATCATCATTGACTAGTACTATATAGACTATCAGCTCTAAAGTTATACTTTTTTTTTGTTTAGAAAAAAATAATATGCGTATTAGAAGAGAAAAGTGATTGGTTTCTTTATAAATCTAAGTTTGTCGGGTTATTAGACTGCACGGTAAAATGTACAGCAACAACGCGCTCAGCCCTATCATTTGTCGTCATAATAATTAATTTCAGGAAAGGATTGGCTCGTGGAATCTCGATCACAGCGCCTATGACTGAACTCCAACCACTAAGTGTAGCTGTCAGCTCCCTGTACCACTGCGCTATCCAGCACACCCCATTAGGGTCCTTATTAAAACGTACTGAACATTGCGCAACTGTACTATATGTCAACAGAACAAGTTTAACAGTCTACTCTATCAAACCTGCTTGCTTTCTTTTTTCAACAGCTACTGATACTTCTGAATTTTTTGTTGCTTAAATTATCGCAGAAAACTTTGAAACGTTTGTTTTTTTTTTTTTTTTTCTGCGATAAATCTTCTGATTGTAGACAGCTCATAAAAAACTGGGCGGAGTCAAGAAACGCAACAATAAAGTATTTTAACCAATGATTGAAAAGAATACCATTGTATTGTACTTGCCTAAATTTGCCCAATTTTTTTTTGTCGCCTAATGATCAGTTAACTCTAATTTTTTTCTCGACAGTTTCAAAACAATAATTTGAGCATTTGTTTTTTTTTTTTTTATAATCAGCCAGTAAGAAATGCTTGAATTTCAATCAGAAAGCATAGGTTGCAGTGTTCTAGTTCAGTGCAGAGAAAAGGATACTTAGCTGTAGAAATGTATGAAAGTACAAGCAAAAATTTGAAAAATTAAATTATGACCTTACAGTTTCCTGGTTTAACGACATGAAAAAATTATGTTACGGCTTGGAGAGGGGCAGGGAAGGAGAGGAAGGGAGGCAGGAATCGATGTATCCAGATGTCGTACAAATGAACAACAATCTGTTAATTGACGACAATGATGATGCTTAAACAGTCTGCTGCATAAGCAGTTGTTACCAGAAAATAACTGTTGTTTGAACAAAAAACATAAACTGTCTAAGTCAATCAGTTTGAACATTGATTTAATAAAAATATTTGAATAAAAAACTTTGCAGTAAATTTGGAAAAACCATATTCAAGTAGACGCTCTTCTTTTTACCCGGAGATCTTTCATTGAATCTGCGCTCTCAAATGCGACTGTAATACTAAAATATACCGTTGTAAAGTAAAAAAAAAGTTTTTTTTTGTTTTAACCTCACTTCTCGTTTCAGTATTTTTGTTTCTTTTTACATTTGAAAATAAGTTAATTTTCGCTTAATCTTTGTTTTTTACTCAATCAGCTTATTGAAATGTTAGCGTCAAATGATGTCAGCTATGAACTGTATGGTATCACAAGGTAGCAGAATGAACTCTCAGAATGAACGACTAATGAAATTTGAGAATTTTTTTGCAATAGAATATAAATAAAAAAAAAACTTGACATATTTTTAAAATTTTTTTTCTGAGAACAAGATAACGGCTTTATAATAAGACTGCCAAATTTGTGAAACGAACAGTTAACAAAGTTTGGTATAATTGAGCATACCTTTTAAACTACTATTTGAATAGCTTTTGAAACGGGTAATACAAGCGTCAGATCATTTTGATGCTTCAGCAGTTTTCAGTAGTGGTGCCAAAACTGTTGACTGTTTGCTTTTTTTACGCAAATTTTCGGTATCATTTATTTAAAAAAAAATAAAGTGTTAAGGACAAAAATTATAGTTTTATTTTTCTTTTTTCTAGTTATTCTTAAAGTTAATTTTGAAAAATTTTAATAAGAAGAAAGAAAGCTAAAAATGAAGTGAAAAAATTTTGGTTTTCAAAACAAATAATTTTGCTAAAATTGTTGTCCTAAAAGAAAATTGGTGAAATACTTTGATGGCAATGAAAGGAAAAAAATAGCTGCATATAAAATATTTAAAATAATAATTATGTTTATTTTATTTTTTTTATTGCTAAAAAATTTCTTTCGGTTTTTTCTGTGTTAATTTTAGAAATAATCATTGAAAAAATGAGAAATAAAGAAATGACAAAAAGTGCTGTTATTCAGTGATGTATATTGCTGAGACAAAGTTTTAATATCTTTTTTGTACTTTACTTTTTATTCCGATATTTAACAGTAGCTATTAAGTTTAAAAAACTTATTTTTATGCATTAAACGTGTCTTCCACTTATTGCCTCTCCCCCTTCTCTTCTCTCCATTTCCTGCAAAAAAGAGCAAAGAAGAATTGTAGATAAGAAAGTTAATTTTTTTTGCTCTTTTTTTTGATAACTATTTCTTCGTTAGATTTGGTATGTAAAAAAGTTTATAAAAAAAAAAAAAGGAACAGCTGAAGACAGTATGGTGCAAAAAATTGCAAAAACAAGCTGTTTATTTTTGTTCTGTGTGGTTTAACAGAAGTAAATAAGATAAGCAAAATTTAGTTTTTAATAATTATTGTCAAAACAATTGATAGATCAACTGAGCAGCTTTTGAATAACCAAATAGAAATCTGTCAACAAACAGCTTTGTTCGATTATTTGTTAATGGGGTTGATAAGAGGAAAAATAAAGTTGAAAAAATTTAAAAGATCAACGAACAACACAACTACGGTTGGCTTTTTTCTCTTTGGCTGACCGCTGCTTAACAGTTTATACAATATTTTTCAAATTTTATAAAACCTTTTTGTTCTCTTTCGTATAAATTCAAATATGCTTTACTTTTCTTATCTCATAATATATCATAGTTTTTGGCTTTTTTCTTTGGTATATTAATCTCTTAATCTTTTCATCGTAAGATTATAACAGACTAAGATATTAGTAGGTTAACGTCTGTTGATTGTTTTTTTTT